TTTGAGAAGGAGTGTCTGACTCTGTTGCCCAGGCTGGAGTGCAGTGGTGCCATCTCAGCTCACTGCAACCTCCGCCTTAGGGATTCAAGTGATTCTCCTGTCTCAGCCTCCCAAGTAGCTGGGATTATAGATGTGCATCACCACGCCTGGCTCATTTTTGTATATTTAGTAGAGACAGGGTTTCACTATGTTGGCCAGGCTGGTCTTGAACTCCTGACCTTGTGATCCACCCACCTCGGCCTCCCAAAGTGCTGGGATTACGGGCTTGAGCCAACACACTCAGCCAATTTTTGTATTTTTATGGGGTTTTGCCATGTTAGCCAGGTTGGTCTCAAACTCCTGACCTCAAGTGATCCACCTACCTCTGCCTCCCAAAGTACTGGGACTACAGGCATAAGCCACCATGCCTGGCAGAGTTCCCAGCTCTTGAGGAGTCTGTCCCCTTGAGTGAAGCATAGCCAGCTGAAGAGGGGCCAGGAGCTGCTCCCCATACCTGCACCAGGTCCATGCTCACGAACCACAGGAAGTTCCGATGGTGTGCCAGTTGCCGGAGATATTGGCCCAAGGTGATGCCGTCCACCTCCTCACTGCCCACAAGCAGCTCCTCTCCACACAGGCTGTGGGGCAGAAAAGAGTGGAGAACTGCCTGGGGCTGGCCAGTTATCCCCCAACACAGCCCAGGGCAGCCCCCATTAGCCAGGGACCCAGCACCAAAATCAGATTTAGAAGGTTGCTGGTGAGGACCTGAAGAGCCGAGGCTGACCACTCACCCGCTATCCACAGTCAGGCCTGAGCACCCTGGGTCCCTTCGGGCCGCCTCAACCCGCCACCTCAGCAGCTGCGTGGCCCCCAGAAAGCCCAGCCCAGAGCTGACAGCCAGTGTCACGCAGAAAGCACGGAAGGAGGAGAAATCCTCCTTGTTCCAAAAGGCATAGGAGGCAAAGACAGACAGGGAGCCGGCCGCGCTGAAGAGGGAGCAGTAGAAGTTGAGGTGGGTGCGGTCGTGGGCTGAGAGGGCCAGGTCGGCCAGCAAGGCGTGGTGGTGCAGGTCCACGAGCGTCAGGAAGCCGTCATAGAGGCACAGGCACAGCAAGAACTGCAGGCCGGCTGGGGCCCAGGGCACCCAGAACGCCAGGAACGCCAGCGCCAGCAGCGGCCCATGCCAGCCCAGGGCCCGCACCCGGGCCAGCACCACAGCCCTTGAGGAGAGCCTGGCGCCTGACCTGCCAGGGAAAGGAGGGCTGTTGAGACATGCTCTGTCAGCCTTGGCAGGCCGCAGTTCCCCTTGCCCAGGCCCCAGGGGATGGATGGAGGCCCAGGGTATGGGACTCACAACAGGGTGGTCCCACTGTCCCCCCAGCCCCCAGCCTACAATTTGGGAAGCACAACTCATCACTGGGTACACTCCCTCCTCTGCTCCAATTTCCACCCCCTAACTAGCCTGTCAGGCCAATGGCCAAAGTGTATGGGATGCCCACTTCTCAAGGTTAGGGGTGATGATAGACTCCAGCAGGGATGGGGCAAAGGAATCTTCCAGAAGCAGCAGAGGGTGTTTGAAATCTAGGGTCCAGAGGCACCAGCCAAGCCAAGCCGGGGTAGGTCTCTTCCCCTACTGAGCCAGGCAAGGGTGTATCCAAGGCCACCTCTCCAACCCAAACCTGGACCCCAGGAAGGGAAGGGGCATGGGCAACACTGAAATAGTCTCCCCTTCCTTCCCCATCCAAAACACAGTAGCAGTAGGGTGGGACTGAACCAATTACGAGCTATTCCCAATATACCGACCGGGGCTGGGAGCTGAGGAACTGCCGATCGCTGAGCCAGCCGAAGAGGGGGTCATTCAGGCTATTCCAGACGAGAAACACCGTCTGCAGGCAGAGGGGAGATGGGCAGGTGGGCTCTAGACAGCCTCCCCTCCAGGGATCCTCCACCCCAGACTGCTCACCAGCCCTCAAAGATGGCACCAGCTTTTCTACCTGCAAACCTTTGCTCATGTCAGTTCCTCTGCTAAAACCCACTCTGGCCAGGCATGGTGGCTCACACCTGTAATCCCAACACTTTGGGAGGCCAAGGTGGGTGGATCACCTGAGGTCAGGAGTTCAAGACCAGCCTGGCCAACCTGGTAAACTAAAATACAAAAATTAGCTGGGCATGGTGGCACATGCCTGTAATCCCAGCTACTCAGGAGGCTGGGGCAGGAGAATTGCTTGAACCAGGAAGGCAGAGGTTGCAGGGAGCTGAGATCGTGCCACTGCACTCCAGCCTGGGCGACAAGAATGAAACTCCGTCTCAAAAAAAAAAAAACCAAAAAAACCTATTCTGCCAGTCAAGCCACTGCTCCCCTCAAACTCCCACCCATCCAGAGTCCAGCTGGTAAATGTGTGCAGCTGATAAATTTATATATGTGAACATATTATGAGTCTATAGAACCTCGACTATGTAAGACAGTGGCCAGGAAAGCTGATCTAGTCGCCACCAAGGAAGAGTCATTGAGACCTCCACAGTTTTTCAGGGTGTAGTGGCTCAGGCCTGTAATCTCAGCACTTTGGAAGGCGGAGGCGGGCAGATCACCTGAGGTCATGAGTTTGAGACCAGCCTGACCAACATGGAGAAGAAACCCTGTCTCTACTAAAAATACAAATTTAGCCAGGTGTAATGGCACATGCTTGTAATTCCAGCTACTCAGGAGGCTGAGGCAGGAGAATTGCTTGGAGCCAGGAGACGGAGGTTGCGTTGAGCTGAGATCGTGCCACTGCACTCCAGCCTGGGCAACAAGAACAAAACTCCATATCAAAAAAAAAGACCTCCACAGTTTTTCTTGCTGAGTCTTGGTGAACAACCTGGACTGCCCATGCCCAACTGGGTGGGACCGGGTACCTGCAATCTGCCCGGCAGCCTGGGTACCCTCTAGTCTCCACCACACCCCCTCCCCCATGTTGGCCACCAACCCTGGCCCTACCTCTCCAACCCAGAAGGCCGCTTTGTTGATCTTGTACACTGAGACAAAGGTGTCCACATAATAGAGCAGGAAGACATTGTGCAGGATGGTGGTGAAGAGGGCCAGGGAGCCATAGACCACAGCTGTGGGCAGACCCAGCAGCCAGGCCTGGGGCCAACCTAGTCCCATGGCTGCAGCCCCAGCCTTAGCCCCAGGAGCACTGGGGAGGGCTCATGGCCACAAGCTGTCTTGCCATCCTCCTCCCTGGGGAAAAAGGAACCAGTGAGCAACAGGGATCACAGCCAGCTCTGCTTTAACCTCAGACCTCTGAATCATTTAATCATTTCCCAGAGTAGAGAGTCTGTACTTACAACAGCGCCGGGAATTAAGAATGAAGTACAACGGAAACAGTGCTGAGCTTGATACCACTAATCAGGGATTGACTCGAGGAAACTGAGAGCCTGTGGGAAGAGAAGGCAGACACCCGGCAAGTGCTCAGCCAGGTCGCGAGCTGGGGCTGGATGCTCAGTGTCTTCTCACATAGCACTATGTGACTTTAATGGTCTAGATGAGACAACCCTGGGCTTGGGCACACAGTGCACTTACAGTAAAATGTCAGGCAGCTACCTAACCCAGGCCTTAGCTTCCTCTTCTGTAAAATGTAAAAGGAGACCACTATGCCTATTTTGCAAAGGATCATAAGGATTAAACCATGTGACTCACAGAAAGCACTCACTGTTGGTATTGATATGGAAGATGGGAAGGGAAGTGCCAGAAAGAGAAGGTCGTGGTCCCCTTAAATGATACGGAAAGGGGGAAGGGAAGTGCTGAGTAGAGGTGGGCAAGTTCCCTGGCTAGGGCTCCACCCCTAGGCCTCTGCCCATGGACCTAGGTGAAGACAGGCATCTTTGTTTTCCTGCCCAAATGTTGTATTTCCCAAGGACCACCCCAGCCCACCAAGTCCCCATCTTGTGCTTATAAAAACCCTGAGACTCGGCAGGACACAGTGGGGTGGCACATGCCTGTAATCCCAACTACTGGGGAAGCTGAGGCAGGAGAAGTGCTTGAACCCAGGAGGCAGAGGTTGCGGTGAGCTGAGATTGCACTATTGCACTCCAGCCTGGGCAACAAGAGCAAAAAGAAGCTCTCTAAGCCTATGAGTCCCCTACCACCACACCCATGGGCCACAGTAAACCTGCTTTGCCCCAAGACAGGAGGATGGCCTCTCCCTGGAGCCCTTGAGGCCCCTGAAGAAAATGCATTTCTGTTTTTCCTCAAGGCTTTATTCAGGTCTAATTGACAAACACTAAACTTCATGTTTTCAAAGCATGCAGTCTGATAAGTTTCACCATATGCATGTACCTGTGAAATCATCACCACAAACAAGATAATGAACACATCCAACTTCCTACATTCCCTCGGCACTGCTTTTCTGAGTAACATGGAAAAAAGACACAATTGGGGCTGGGTGAGGAGGCTCACACCTGTAATCTCAGCACTTGGGGAGGCCAAGGTGGGCAGATCACTTGAAGCCAGGAATTTGAGACCAGCCTGGCCAATGTGGCAAAGCCTCGTCTCTACTAAAAATACAAAAATTAGCCAGCGTGGTGGCACATGCCTGTAATCCCAGCTACTCAGGAGGCTGAGGCAAGAGAATTGCTTGAATCTGGGAGGCAGAGGTTACAGCGAGCCCAGATCACACCACTGTTCTCCAGCCCTGGCGACAGAGCGAGTCTCCATCTCAACCTGTGCTGGAGGCAAAACAACTTGTCCAGGTGAGCAGCCACCCTGGAGATAAAGCTGAGGGAGGAGTGTGCAGGGTTACTCTTTCCGTGGTTTCTCTTCCAGATTCCACTCCTCCATCAAGAAACAGCCTTCCCCCACTTGCCCTCCCCACCCTCAATCCGCCTCAGCAGAGAACAGCAGCCCCACCTCTCCCAGGAAAGAACAGCTTGGAGCCCGCACCAGCCTCCTTGCATAAGCTGGTGAGAAATCCTGTAACCTGCAACCAGCTCCACCCACCTCCTTGGCACCTTCCAAGACCTACCCTCATGGTCTCAGCTGGTGGCTTTGAGCCAGCCACTCCCTCTCCCTGATCCTCAGTCTCCTCGCCCACAAAGTGGGGATGTTAATGTCAACCTCTAAGGTAGCTGTGGGCTGAAATGCAAGAGGAATATAAAGCACCGAGTGCCTGCTACATAGAAGACCCTCAATATAGAGAAGCTATTTTATTTTTAAGATGGAGTCTCGCTCTGTTGCCCACGCTGGAGTGCAGTGGCCCAACCTCAGGTCACCGCAAACTCTGCCTCCCTGGTTCAAGTGATTCTCCTTCCACAGTCTCCTGAGTAACTGAAATTACAGGTGCCTGCCACCACATCTGGCTAATTTTGTTGTTGATTTTTTTTTTTTTTTGAAACAGAGTCTTGCTGTGTCACCCAGGCTGAAGTGCAGTGGCACAATCTCAACTCACTGCAACCTCCACTTCCTGGGTTCAAGTGATTCTCCTGCCTCAGCCTCCGGAGTACCTGGGACTACAGGAATGTGCCACCACACCCGGCTAATTTTTTGTATTTTTAGTAGAGATGGGGTTTCACCGTGTTAGCCAGGATGATTTCAATCTCTTGACCTCATGATCTATCTGCCTTGGCCTCTCAAAGTGCTGGGATTACAGGTGTGAGTCACCATGTCCAGTCAATTTTCGTATTTTTAGTAGAGACAGGGTTTAGCCATATTGGCCAGGCTGGTCTCAAATTCCTGACCTTAAGTGATCTGCCTGCCTCAGCCTCCAAACGTGCTGGGATTACATGCGTGAGCCACCACACCCAGCCCACAGTAGCTATTTTCTTTCCATGTCTCTGAAGTTTGGTTTCATAATATTTGTTTGTTTGTTTGTTTTTATTTTTATTTTTAGATGGAGTCTCATTCTGTCACCCAGGCTACAGTGCAGTGGTAGGATCTTGGCTCACTGCAACCTCCACCTTCTCCCTCAGCTTCCTGAGTAGCTGGGATCACAGGCATGTGCCACCATACCTGGCTAATTTTTGTATTTTTTGTGGAGACGGGGTTTTGCCATGTTGGCCAGGCTGGCAACTCCTGACCTCAAGCGATCTGCCTGCCTTGGCCTCCTGAAGTGTTGGGGTTACAGGTATGAGCCAGCATGCAGTTTCAGGGTCTTTAAAGATCAATCATTAGGCAGGGTGCGGTGGCTTATGCCTATAATTTTAGCACTTTGGAAGGCCAAGGCAGAAGGATCACTTGAGGCCAGGAGTTAGAGACCAGCTGGGGCAACATCAATCAAAAGTAAAATTCATTGACCTCTCTGCCACATCTATGACTGAAATTGTCTTTCCAGCAACCAACCTTTATGTCTTTTGCCACCTGAAATACCCTAGTCTGACTCGTCTGCCATCCCTCAAATTCCCTTTTTTTTTTTTTTTTTTTTTTT